TGACGTGACATGTTCGTACGAACCCTTTGTACGAACAAAAGTAAGAGAAATTTAGGATAAGAATACGAACATGTTCTTGCATGAGGCCCGATATTCTGATATAAAGGCCTTTGTGGTTCCTGATTACTTCTCACAAACAGAATTATACAGTATGTATCTGAAGAAAGTAAGAATCACATAAAAATACTAAATACTGCAAATGTCTTCAGCCCAAGTATTGATCCCATCATGTTAGTATTAATAGGATCCAAAACTATGGTATAACATCGTTAGCATCATATGTCGTATGTTTGTGATCAGAGTTTTTATAAGTAATCATGAGATCATGTGATTTGGGGCCAATTTGAACATTTTCTTTCAGATTCATATACTCCTACATTAATGAGGTAAAAGTCAAATGATTTGCAACATGACCACTCAGACTGAAGTCGCTTTGAAAAACATCAGATATGCATCCAAATTAGTATCACATATAAAAAGGGATYGGATTTGAAAAATAATGGGATCTGTCACGTTCAGACTGTCATAAAAATTTGATATGGGTTGCAAATGGGCAAAGAAATCAGAAATGAGTCACTTTTCCCTACAATGTGAGCGTAGCCCTAGTTTAAAACTCTGCCGTGAAATGCAGCGGGTGATGTGGATTCCTGCTAAGGTTTTTAATTCCAAGATGTTTCAGCTACATTTCTGGATGATACTCTGGTGATTTAATCCCCTTTCTTGGTAAACAGACTCACCGTAGACAGTGTGGCACTGAGAGAACAAGAGTGGATCTTCAGTTAGCAGCAACAAACAAAAGTAGATGAACCTCAGCAGCATCTCACTGCTACAACAGGCCAAACGGTCAAACAGAAACACTATGAGAAATGATGAGGACACAAAAAACAAATATGTTCAAGAAACGTCACTTAACTAAAGAAAGAATAAAATACTCATCTGTAAATTTGTTCTACTAGTTACCAAACAAGGCAATGCTTTCCTTCATATTTTTTATACACCAACAATTATAATGATTTTGGAAGATTATCATTTTGTTATTTTAGAGGGGAAAAAGTTAACTAGAAACGCACCAAAACCAGTATCTGGAATCATTCAGATACTATGTGTCACTTTACAACAACGCAAATTTCACATCTCAGTTAGAAAAAATATGGTATAAATTCATCCCTACACTTAGGTCGTATTCACACCTGACACATTTGCTCCGCTTTAAACAGACCAGAGTTTGTTTCCCCCGTAGGTCTGGACCTTTTGTGCAGGTGTGAATACACTCATGTGAACTCTGGTGCGGATCAAACAACCCGATCGAGACCCACTTTTTGAGGTGGTCTTGGTTCGCTTCCAAACGAACTCTGGTGCGGTTCGCTTCAGTTTGCTTCTGGTGTGAATACAGACATGATTTGAATCGAAAGAACTACGTAAAACGTGCCTTTTTGGACTTCACAGGCCACCGTTGCTGAGCTAAATAAACTGAAATAGTATCTGATTCATTGTCTCCTGCTTAGCAGCTCTGCTGCCACCATGTTGTGGTTCAGAACACGCAGAGCACCTCGTCTCCTTTGGGTTTGGCACATTTACTGACACTGCTCCAAAATTAGAATATCACCATGAAACCACCATTAAATTAGCTGCTTTTGACATTTTGAATGCTATTGCAGTTGTACTATCAGCACAAATGTGCACATCAGAACCGCAGCATGCAGGACTTCTGTGTTATTTTCTGGGTCTGTGCGCTCAGTCCCACCCTCATCCGAGCAACGATCGTCACCCTCGTGGCTTTGTTTACAAGTTAGTTCGTTTGCAAACAAGCACAAAGTGATTGCAAACTGCACCAAACGAAAAAAATAAAGTCTACTTTTGGTCCGGACCAAACAAGCAGACCAAAGGACTTTCCTGGCGTGAATAAGACCTTAATATTAACAGAGATATATACAATCAGCACAGATAATAGTGTAAACATACATAAATATAAATATGCATATTAAAAATAGGTTTAAATAAAAAATAAAATTACAAAATAGAATTACACCAACAAAATGAAAACAGGTTTAGGACCAAGGTGTGAATTGAGTTTACATTAGTTTTAGGGTCAGGTAGGTACTTGTGAGGTTAATTTTAGGGTAAATGGTCAGGGTTAGGACATAAAATTTCCAAAAAAATGAATGGAAGTCAATGGAAAGTCCCCACAAGTATACCCACGGGGTCAAGAAACACACGTGTGTGTGTGTGTGTGTGTGTGTGTGTGTGTGTGTGTGTGTGTGTGTGTGTGTGTGTGTGTGT